AGAACGCAATGATCTATTCTCTTGTCATACTCTGGTTCTTGTTCTTTATGGCCATTTCAGGACTACAGCTGGACCGATATCCGCTGCCCCTTTGAGAAAAGACGCGATGCAGCGGCTGTTTTCTGGGACAATGTGGTGTACATCCTGGGAGGATCACAGCTTTTCCCCATTAAAAGAATGGACTGTTACAATGTGGTGAAGGACAGCTGGTATTCCAAACTGGGGCCTCCGAACCCCAGAGACAGTCTCGCAGCCTGCGCATCCAAGGGCAAGATCTACACCTCAGGTGGCTCCGAAGTGGGTGAGTTTGTAGACGAAGTGAAAAACATGGCTGATGCTGATATAGAATGATTAAAACATATAATGAATTAGCAGATCCAAAGGCATAGTCTGATATTGCTTTATATAGTTGCGTGTTTCATATTTTTGGCAGAATTCAGCAACTGCCCTTAGACCTCCATTATAGATAAGCTTCGAGTATATTTAAGTACAGGAAAATAAGGACATCTTTGTTTATGGTATTCACACATACTCTGCAGATCTGGTAGCTTGAAAAAACACTGTTATGCGTATTTAATTAAATGAACACATTTAACAGTGTTCTATCATTTCTAATATTTCTGATCTAGACACTAGAATAATTCATTTTATTGTCTGTAATCTATTGGTCCATTCTATTCACACTTTCATGTCAAAATATATATTATTGCTTAATTAAAATACACACTAGTGTAACATTAGTAGAGCTTGTAAACTCTGTTTAACCTTGTGTGTGTGTGTGTGTGTGTGTGTCATAGGGAGCTCTGCACTAAATCTGTTTGAGTGCTATGACACTCGGACGGAGACGTGGCAGAACAAACCCAGCATGCTCCAGCCTCGCTGCAGCCATGGCTCGGTAGAGGCTAACGGTCTGATCTACGTCTGTGGAGGCAGTCTGGGCAATAACGTATCCGGCAGAGTCCTCAACAACTGCGAAGTGTACGACCCCAACACAGAGGAGTAAGGACAAAGTTGTGCATGAACGTGAAGCCCTGAACCCAGAAGTGTGATTTGTAAATGGTTAGGTCCTTTTAGATGGCTGATTCCGATCATGTGGATTGGGTTAAAACTGTCGTTTTTTTTCATGAAATACTTTCTCTTTACTTCCATTAAAAACACGATTCAGCTAACATTATACATGAGTTCAGTTTCTAGTATAAATTTGTCTACACAGCTTTAAACCAGTCATGTCCAGTATGCCAGTTATTACGGAATGTCATGGAACCCTGAAACTGTAAACGAAAAATAAGAGGGATCAAAACAAAAAAATAAGAGGGATCTTAAAAATTGCATTTTGTTTTTTATTTAGTACTGCCCTGAATAAGCTATTTCACATAACAGACATTTATATATAGTCCACAAGACACGATAATAACTGAATTTACACAAATGAGCCAGTTCAAAAGTTTACATATGCTTGATTCTTAATACTGCGTGTTGTTACCTGGATCAGCAACTGTTTTTATCTTTTGTGATAGTTGTTCATGAGTCCATTGTTTGTCCTGAGCAGTTAAACTGCCCAATGCCCACTTCTTCAGAAAAATCCTCCAGGTCCTGCACATTCTTTGCTTTTCCAGCATCTTCTGCATATTTGACCCCTTTCCAATGTAAACTTTTGAACATGATGATCAGTGTAAATTGTTATATTGTCAACTATTACAGTACTCAATGAAATAAATAAGATCTTTAAACAAAATAATACAGTGTACAAAAGTTTTCATTCCCCTGGCTCTTAATGTAGTATGTTGCCTTATTGAGCATCAGTGAATGTTTGCACCTTATATAGTATTTGTGCATGAGTCCCTCAGTTGTCCTAAGTGTGAAAAGATGGATCTCAACATCATATAGCCACTGTTGGAAGATACACACAGTACTTAGAATTAAGCGTAATCGACTTTTCAACTGGTTCATTTCTGTAAATTCATTTATTATTGTGTCTTGTGGACTATATGTAAACATTTGTTGTGTGAAATAGCTTACTCAGGGCAGTACTAAATAAAAAAACAAAATGCAATGCAAATTTTTTTTTTCAGATTGTGCAAGGCGTATGTGAACTTATGACCCCAACTGTAGTTAGTTAGTGATTAAACAAAGTGGTTTTATTTGTTATGGTTTATTTGGGAAGTGAAATCCAACCTGTAAAGTTTGTTCAGATTCTGACAAATGCAAGCTAGGTTTGTAGCATTTCATTAGCAGGCTAGCTATTTGTGAAGGTGTAAGAACGTAAGGATTTTTCATGGCTTTTTTGACAAGGGCAAATGTTTAAGAATGTCCCTAAGTCATTGTTTTTTGTTTGCTGAATATAGATTATTTTAATGGTTTTAAAATGTAGCATGTATAGGTATTCTATTAAAAAAAGTAGCACAGCAGTATGACAGTTCTTTCTGTGCAAAAGTAAGCAATATCACAAAGGAAAAGGTAAACAATGCGCCCGGGCATGGAGCTGAGTCACTGTTACCACCATGAAGTTGATTAGTTTCCAATAACAATATGTCCCGTGGTGTTTGATCTACCACAGCTGTGTGCCAGCTATTACTTTTCCTTTTATTAATTAAAGAACTACATGTCACTTTTTGTCCGTTTATAGTTACATTTAACATTGTGCAAATTCTTTTTATCACGTACATAATTGCAGTTATAAACAGAGCGTCCAGCATACATGTTTAAGTTGTTACTATATAAACAATAATATATTAGAGCATTATTATAAACCTTGTAGCTGGAATCTTATAGAAAATTAATCAACACCTTCTCAAGGGATTATCAACGCCAGCTTATAAACACAGCACTGTTTCTGACTGGTCTAAAACAGGGTCTTGGAATGCAGTAATTGTAACTAGGCACCATTACACATCATCATATCTTCAGTCACATGGTGTATTTGGTTAAGAAAGGTTTGATGATTAACCTGTGTCCTGTGCTCTCAGATGGAGAGTGCTGTGTGGCATGAGGGAGGCCAGGAAGAACCACGGCCTGGTGGTGGTCAACTCAAGGATCTATGCTGTGGGCGGACAGAATGGCCTCGGTATGTTTCCTCTACACAAACACTAGGGGCTGGAAGATTGGAGAAAAAAAACCTGAAACCTTCTTGGAAACTTAGGTTTGGTGCAAAGCTCCGTGGTGAATTATGACAAAGCATTATGTTGTGAATGCCATGGTTAGCTTTTTTTTTTTTTTTTTTTAAACTTGGTTTGGGTTTATCAGACACCTTAACATGTTAAAATTAAATAAAAAAAACAATGTAAGGCATTCACACTGCAAGGATGAATATGAAGTTTAAAGATTAATTACCATCATGTTCCTAGTCAAGGACAGTAACCGATTGTGAACTAACAGATGAGTATCACACCAGTCCATCATTGATTATAACTCCCTGTTCCTGTTTTTTTTTTTTGTTGTTGTTGTTGTTTTTTATTTATTTATTTATATACTTATTATTATTATTATTATTATTATTATTATTATTATTATTAAAGCCCTGATAATGTGTTGTACTGTTCAAACCATTATACCTATATTTCATACTGCAGGTGGTCTGGACTCAGTGGAGTATTATGAAATAGGCAGTAATGAGTGGAAAATGGCTTCCCCGATGCCGTGGAGAGGCGTGACAGTGAAGTGTGCAGCCGTGGGCTCAGTCATCTACGTGCTGGCCGGATTCCAGGGAGTAGGCCGTTTGGGTCATATAATGGAGTACCACACAGAGACGGACAAATGGGTGATGTCGAGCAAAGAGCGTGCCTTCCCTGTCACCAGCTGCCTCATCTGTGTGGTAGACACCTGCGGAGCCAACGAGGAAGAAATGAGCTCTTTTCATGAACCTTCACCATCAACGTCCTCTGCCTCATCATCTTCCGCACTGTCAGCTCCTACAGCACATGGACAATGCTGAGTTTGAGTATGATCAACTAGATTTTTGTGTATTTTATGTATAGCTTTTGGTGTACAGACTTGGTGATTTTTTTTATGTTTTTTTTTCCAATGGATGGCTGTGAAAGTATTTGAACTGTGGCTTCCTCTTAAACTTTTCCCATCATGATTTTTTTTTTTATTCGTTATATTGTGGGTTTTTTTGGTTTTTAGCAAAAGTCTATTTTGCTATTGACTATTATGTTATTGATATACAGTATGGTGCAAAAGTCTTAGGTACCCTAATCTTTTTTTTTTTTTTAGACCTTCTGAGTTAGTGTGTCAGCAGAAAAAAAGCAAATATTTGTTTTCCACAAAAATAGAGAAAGAATCTAAGGAAAGTAAAATCAAGCAATAGACCACTTTTCACATAAAAAGCATAACGGAGGCTGTTCTGGTTTTACCTGCAGAAACAAACGCAACACAGAGACAAAGTCTCCAGATGAATTGTGGCAGTTCTCCATGATGCATGACGGTGTACCTGAGAGAACTGATGCAGTTTTTAAGGTAAAGGGTGGTCTCACCAAATATCTGCTCCGTTTCTTTTCTTTCTTTTTTTTATACTTTTAGTTCACTGCTTTTTTATCTGGAATTGGTTCATATCATTTTTTACATAATTTATCTTTCCTTTACAGAATTTCTTAACAAGACTTTTGCACAGTACTACATATTAAAAGAGAGATCATGATCTCTATCCTTTGTTTAAGTGAAATAAAACAGACCCATTTATTATGAAAACTGTTGCCAACTTTGTACATTCCATATAATAAATGCAAGTATGTTTGTGACAAACTGTATAAACATATAAAATACACCATGCTGCAGGGATATGTATAGGTGTGTATATGTGAGTATACACACATGCACTTGAAGTTTTTTCTTCGGCTGCTCCCGTTAGGGGTCGCCATGGCGGATGATTGATCCGCATATTTGATTTGGCACAGATTTTTACATCAGATGCCCTTCCTGAAACAACCCTCCCCAATTTTATCCGGGCTTGGGACAGCACTGGGAGTGCACTGTCTTGTGCAACCCCCAATGGCTGGGGCTGGTTGCCTGGCTGGGAATTGAACCCGGGCCCCGTGGTGAGAGTATCGAGGCCTAACCACTAGTCCTTCAGGGACCACACACATGCACTTGAACTAAATACAATGGGCTGATTTAAATAAGCATTTAAAAACTCTATTGCATCCAGCAGTGGAAAGATACCACTATAGGACAACCACTGAGCAGATAGTATTTGGGTGATGGACCATTCTAAGTAGTACAAGACTAGTGTGTGTGTGTGTGTGTGTGTGTGTGTGT